ATCTCCCAGTCTGGCTCAGAGGTGGTTCCTGGGCATGAGATGCTGCACCACAGCAGGCACACTGCAAACAAATCCTGGGCTCCTCAAAGACTCCTCACTCATTCAGAGCAGAGCTGGCTTCCAGCAAGGCAAAGAGGGATGTTCAGTGCACCCTGAAAATTTTGGCTGTGCATGTACAGGTGTCACTGCCCACGTGCTTCTGGATGCACCTGCATGGCAGCTGGGAGGCAGAAGTGCTGCAAGAAGAGTTACTCAGGAGGTGTCCACATGGACATAGAGGTGGGTTAATCACCAACATACCTACGGGTTGTGCTGACCTCCCTGTCTCTCCCTGGCTTAGTGCTTCCTGGCAAGAAGGTTAGAAACAAATTGCCCAGTTATTTCCTACAATCAAACTGCAGAGCTTTCAGACCCCACAGACAGCTCTGCTACGAGCCTCAGATGAGCTCCATTTCTGCAACAGCTCCTCCAGAGAGAAAGAATTAGGAGGCTTAACACTTCTGGATGACAGTTGCCTGAGCTGCTGTCAGATAACAGGCACAGCCAGCTGGTGCAGGAGGCAGGATCAAGCCAGGCTGTCTGATTCAGCCATCCCAGAAAAAAAGCCATGTTTATAAAACCCACATGAAAAGGAACGAATTGCCAATTACGCAAAAGTCTTTAAATAAAGCAACACAAACCTTTCATGTGCAGCAGGCAAATGATACATGGCCACTGGGAAATAATATAACTAATAGGGAGGCTGTGAGTGGGGAATGGAGGAAATCCATTTTCCAGAGGTATGAAAATGGACTTGCTTGCTGAAAAAGATTAGCTGGATAAAGCCAAACACTTTAAAAATAAAGAACTGTGCTAGAAACTAAACATGCATCAAACAGAAACAGGGAAAAAAACCCTCAGACTGTAAGATCCAAGGAGCCACACTCTGCTCCTGCTCAGAAAGAAAAAACTGTCAAAAAACCATGCTGTATAAACTTGCCACACACCCAAGATCTTCAACAGGCATTTCTCAAATGAAACACACACCAAATGCAACTCTTCTGCCTAATCCCAAGTCAAACAGCCTTTGAGTTTCAGACCCTCAGGAAGAGATTTCCATATGATCCTCCTCTGTCTCTGTTTATGATTAGCCCTTCTAAATTTCAGCATTTATCTGACAAAACACATTGGGGAGGGTTTTCTTTTATCCACAAAGCCTGTGTTGCTGCTTTTCCTTAGCTGCTGCTGCACCACTCTGCAGCCGCTTGACTTGGGAGGACAGGACTTCAGTCAAGACTCTTTGTTTGAGTCAAGCCAGGATCTCTTTCCTGATGATGGTAACCCCAAGCCTTCATTATGTGCCAACACTGAAGCAAGCCAGCATTCACAGAGGGGGTTATAAATGCTGCCTCTGAGCCAAAATCTTATTTTTGGGGGATGGTAATGCAAATAAAACCTATGTGCCTGGTGGGTCCAACTGGCAATAGCTGTGTGGCCTGTCAGAGGGATTTTTGCAGTTTTGGGAGGGAATTTGTGGTGTTGAAACATTTCAATCCGGCCTGGCAGAGCTGTCACACTGAGCCACTGCTGATTCTGTGAGCAGAAGCACCAATTCCAGTCCCTGTCCTGCTGCAGCCTGGCCCTCATTACCCACCAATGGATACATTTCAAATGATATATCCATGAACCCCCTGGTCTGATCACAGCTAATTCACAGACAAAAATGGAGTACATTTGCTTAATACACTGCTTTTTGCAAACACCCTGATTGTTCCCAGATGCATCTGGTTTTACCCAGCAGCACTTCGGGCAGGATAGGAAATAATTTCATCTCCCCAGAGTCACTGGCCAAAGCTGTTTCAAAATGTTCCAGGAGCACTCCTGCACCCCTTTTGAGGGAGCTGTACCCAGCTCTCTCCTTCAATCAGACCCAGCTTCTTCTGCTGTTTTTTTTTATTTTCTACACCAAAGAGGAGTACCCCAAAGATGATCAGAGGGCTGGAGCATCTCTCCCACAAAGAAAAGAGGAGAGAGCTGGGGTTGTTCAGCATGGAAAAGAGAAGGCTCCAGGGAGACCCCACTGCAACCTTCCAGCACTTAAAGGAGTCTTCTTAAAAAGAGGGAGAGTTACTTTTTCCATGGGCAGATAGAGATAGGAAAAGGGGGCATTGTTTTAAACTAAAAAAAAAAAAAAAAAAAAAAAAAAAAAAAAAAAAAAAAAAAAAAAAAAAAAGAAAATAAAAAGGAGGGATTTAGATTAGGTGTTAGGAAGAAATTCTTTACTCAGTTCTAGTGAAAGGTGGCCCTGCCCATAGCAGGGGGAGTGAAGCTGGATGGTCTTTAAGATCCCTTCCAACCCAAACCTTTCTGTGATTCTATGAAAATACAGCAGCAGGATCCCTGAACCCTTCCCCAGGCAGAGCACCTGATATCACACACACAAGCACTGAAAGGTGATGTAAAGCCAGATCTGGGTTAGGCTGTTATTTTGATCTCACCCGTGGAGAGAAATCAAATTTACTGATTACCAGTGCTCTTTCCTAAACTCTCACAGGAGTGGAAAAGCTTCCAAGAAAGGTTGAGGCTGGTGTAAAGGAGGAAATTTCACATGAGAATTTAAGAGACTGACTCCTGAGCAATTCAAGCCAATGCAGGTCTAGATCTTGAAGCCCAACAAATCTATAGAGGAACCTCTTTCATGATAAAACCCAGCAAACCAGCCCTCTGCTCCAGCCCATGGCAAGACACCCACAGAAAAATACAGCTTTGAAGTGATAGCCAGAAGCTTGGGCTTGGATGAACATTTTATTTACAGCTTCTAGTTCAATTCAGCTACAAGATAAGGTAACACTAATAAAAACAACCGTGATCAGAACTTACAAAACAATTTTTATCTGAAATCTCACGATAAGACACAAACAATATGGGTCAGCTGGTGAGATTTCCCCTAGCAAAGTGCACATTGCTCCCAGAGGGAGCTCATTCCACCGGGACAAAGAGCTGCTCATCTTGGTAACCTCAGCCCACTCCTGCTGAGTGCAGCAGCTCCAGCACCACCCAATGCTGGTGGCTTTGCCTGTGCTTTACAGGCAGGCAAACCAAAGTGTTGTGCCCATGTCTGCAAAGAGAATCAATACTGGAGACATACTCAAGTCCAAAACATCCACTTTTCTCTTCATCTGCTCCACCTAAAAGTGATTTCACCCTGACTAGAAGCTACCTAACATTGTCATTGAGCCAGAAAAGCATCTGAGATGCCTCAGTGGACATTCCTGTACATATGGGGGCACAGAGGAACTCAGAGGTCTGAGTACTGCATGCAACAGAGGTTACTGCTTTTTCTGGGCATGAATTTTTCATCGTCACCCTCCTGGCTTCCCCCATTCACACATTACTTGAAAACAGCAAAACGATTTGTTGTACTAATAAAATTCAACCATGGGTCACTTGCAAACTAGTTAGTGTGATTTAGAGAGCAATTTGCTTCCTCTATTGATTACAAGGAATTCCACTGGAGGTGTGATCAAACACTTAAAAAAGCATAATATCACGTGACACCATTTCTGCTCCCTTGGAAGTGGACACATTTTCCCACAGCAGCCTTCTTGGCTGTCATCTTCCTGTGTTTTTTTAGTGTCATTGATCAAACCCCAAATAAGTAGGTTGGCCAGGGCAGCTCACATAGATTTCCTGCAGTATATTTTAAGCTGTGATTATTAATATACTGAGCAGTGCTTTAGCAAAGCTATTCTCCAATAGTCCATTTTAATGTTTAATTGAACTAAGAAAAATTAGAAAAGTCATTTAGATGACATAGGAAGCCAAGTGCTGTGTCCTTGTGATGAAGGTGACTAAACTTCCTCCCAGCCAGCTGCAAAGCATCAGAGAACCTGGTGCAGCCTATGTGGGGACCACTGGTATGGTGTTTTGTTTTAATTAGTCATCCTGATTTAGCTGTTCTCGTTCCACCCCTGGCCTGACTCACGGTTATCCAGGCACTCTCTGAACACACTGTGTGTCAGGGGCAGCTGAGGGATTTCACCTCCTAGATGACTATGTGCTGTAAAAACGTTTCCCATTAACAGTTTTGTAATGGCATCTTTAAGTAGCTTTCCAGAAGGTGAGGCTGAAGGTGCTTCCGGCGATTCAAGTCCCCTCCAGCCATCCCCATTCAGGTTTGCCGGTGCTGGGCAGGATCCTGCCCCCCCTCCCATCTTATCAGCTGTAGCCAGGGCATTTGGGTGCTATGGGAAGTTTCATTTCCTGCTGCTTTGGCTGCCTGTGGAAGCCTTTGTAAAAGGAAAGACATTCTTCTAATTCTTGCTGTTAACCCATTGGGGATCTCTGAGACAGGAGCCAAAATTGTCAGGAAAGTGGAGGATGCTACAGCTTTCACCAGCCAATCCTGACCAAGCCACCGCCAGATTCTCATTGTTTCCAGTCTTCCTTCTTTTTTTCAAAAGTAAGAAATAAGGCAGATGGAACATGGACGAATTTTAAATACATATTTGTGTTTGACACATAAACCTGCAAGAAATCCCTGCCTGTGTCATGACCACCACAGCATCTTCTGCTGCCAACCACATTCCCAGTGCAGCTGGGAGCATGGGCACAATCCCCTCTAGTGGAGCCCAGCACTGAAGCCCAGCAATTTGGGATGGCAAGCAGAGAAGCTGGAGGTATTTTAAGCAGAGGCAATGCATTTCTCATAGCTAAGCAGTGCCTCAAAAACATAGTTAAGAGATATAATAGCAGTGTCAAAAATGACCAGAGGTGCTTTTCTATCTCATTGGCAGGGACTGGGACAGAATAAAGTAAAAATATGTCTTGAATTATTCCTTCCCACAGATATGCCTTTGCAGATCCTTCCCAGGCAGAACTACTGCAGCTTCCCTGAACTCTGCAGGCGATCACAGCGTGAAGCTGCTGAGAAAACCAGCTGAAAACCCTCCACTCTCCCCACCCTGGTGAAAACCCATGGCTGCAGCAAACTATCAAATGATGAAATGCGCAGTTCCTACCTGAACAAGGAGCTCCAGCTTCCTGTCGTCAAGGAGGTGCACTTGGCATCTGCGACCCTCTGTCATCTGCAAGAGAGAAGAGGAACATGTGTCAGGTGTCACAGCTTAGCACGTGCCTGCTGGCTTCCCCCAGCCTTTTGTTTGGTGCAGTCCTTTTGGTTTGTGTTTACTTATTTCTTTTCAAATTAATCCCCCTTCTTCTGGCACCAGGGTAAAGAAAAGGCTGGAAGGAGAAAAAGAAAAGCCACCCTGGTAGGTGTCGTGGAGCGGTGTCTGGTACCAGGAGGAGGGTGTTCCAGTGTGGACAGGTAGGGCAGGGGGTGGTTTGCAGCACAGGGGCCCTGATGTTTCATATTGAGGCCTCCAGCTCTGCAGCTGGCTTGGCTGGCAGAAGAGACATCCAGGAAAGTTTCCCCAAGCCCCTCAACTGCAGTGATCCAGCCATGCCACAGGGACTGTGGAGCCAGGCTCCTCCCTGGGCTGTGCTGATGCTGCTCCCTGGAGTGGCACCAGGGGCATGTTCAGCCCTGAATCCTGAAATGGGCTTGTCCTACTTGGAGTATTCTACTTAGGCTGTACCACAGGAGCCACTTCTGACATCGCTGTACTGGTCCAAAGGTGCTTCCACACCAGCAGTTTATTACAACAGTTAACAAATAATACCAATAAAACTATTATGTGTACAAGGCTTATATGAGATTTCCAAGGTCCACAGATTGGGGTCCTACGAAATAAATGGGCTGTGGTCTGAGAGAACTGCTCTACAGTGCATCAAGCCCTCTCTTGCACAGAGCACCGTGAGTGAGGAGCAACTACGCTTCGCGGAGTTACAGATCCCAGCTCAGTCCCACAAAGCCCTTCAGAGACAAGCACAATCCCCCTATCTTTTAATGGGATATGGGCATCCTTAAGCCTCTTTAGCTCTTGAAAATCCCTTTCTCAGCACGACTTAGGCAGCACACAAGCAGGCCCCCAGTGTGGGCTCACCCTACAACACTCACCCACACCTGAACCCATGTTGGCACAGCCCCAGCACAGCCCCAGAGCTCAGCTTAGCCCCCCAGGGACCCACCACCTGCAGCCAAGGTACCTTCCTGTGCTTTGCATGGATCCCTAGCTCAATTTAATAATATTGCTTGCCATGGTGAGTCCTAAATTATCATCAGAAGGGAGCAGAGAGTCCACAGGATATTGGCAGGGGGTGGTCACAGGCTGCTGGAGACACAAGTGCTGCAGCATCCTGGGCATTCCTGCCCTCATCCATCACCTCTTCCCACCAGTGCCAAGCTGAGCCCCTGAGACAAAGCTGCCTTGCAGAGAGTGGGAAGTGTGCTTGGGGGGTTAACTGAGGACAGCTCAGCTTTCTGCTTCAGCTCTGTGGGTTAAAAATCAGCTGCCCCAATCAGCTGATGGGGCTGGATGTGCTGGCATCCAGGAGGCAGTGGTGGATGCTCCACCATCAACTTTGCCCATTCAAAAATCCAGGCATTGTGCGGCCATTGCCACAGGATCTGCAACCTCAGCCATCTCCAGCAGTATCACCTTCATCCTGCTATCTCTCAGCAGAGGAGCCCATCAGCCTCTTCTAGGTTCTTCTGTCCTCCCTCTTGACAGCTCTGTTCCACATCCATCTCTCCCTTTCCTGGTGCCAGATTGAAGCAAATCTTACCCAGCCCCTTCCACAAAACAAAGATTCTAGTGTTCCAACAACTCTGTTGAACCTTAAGCTGACCATTGAAGATGCACAGTTCATTATGAGAAAACTTCTGTCAAAATGAGCTTTTCCCTTCAACTCATCCACAATTTACAATTCTGGAAGGCACAATCCCATGCGACTCATGCAGAATTTACCCCTTTTTGTTATTCACATCAACACGCCTCTATCCTGCATGCCAAATAACATCACTTTCCTTCTTTTCTTCCATCAGCACAACTGGAGCCCTGGCATTGCATCCAGAGGAAAGCCTTGTAAAACAAGGCTTCTCATAAATGTCAACCAGTTACCGCCATGGCAATAAATTGTCTTACGAGAATTTCCTACAGTAAGAAATATTATGCAAAATATGGCTTCTCCTAAGGTGTATTACTTGGTGAGCTAGATTTTTCACTATTAAACAGCTTTCAGCTCAGTTGTAAAACTATGCCAGAGGCTCACAGAAGGGCTTTGCAGTGGTTTCTCCTGCCTGGAAGAGTGGTGTGTCATGTTCACACAGGCATGGGGAACTGCAAGCTTCCTTCACTGGGCTTCCCCAGCAGATAAAACTCTGAGTGCCTGAGCTGTGCTTTGACATCTCCCTCATTCTCTTACTGTTACATATCCACTGCATCTCCAAGATGGGGAATATGCACTGATATTCCAGCTTTCATACGAGTTTACCCAAGGCAAGAGATAAAGCAGTGAGTTCATTGTGGCGATGGCAGGGATGGGAACACAGCCCTGCTTTCGTGTGTTATGCTCCACTGGCTATAACAAAGTTGAAATATGAATAAAAGAAGGTGAAAGGGGGAAGAGAGAACATTTTCTGAGATGTCTGACTTTGTTCTGTAGTGTTTCAGCAAAGTGCTTTCTTCCCATGCAGAGCTTCTTTAGCTCTCTGTGCTTTTCCAGCCTGGAGTTTCATAACCCCTTAGTGCTTTCACTGCTAAAAGAAATCCCAAATGCAAACAGCTGGGAACATGAATAAATATCTGAATAAAGCAAAGCTCTGAAATACAGCACATGACGGTTGACTAATTGAAAGGCCTTTCATGAACATCCCTTGAAGCTCAGCAGGTCCACAGGTTGGAGATCTGCTACAGCGTTTCCTTCCTCCAGCCACGGGGCTTTTCATTTGCCTTAGAAATGAGCAGTGCTTTCCAGGAGAAAAGAAAAGAAGGTAGAGACAGGCTTCCTACTTGATATAAGCTAAAATATGATGGCCCTGCCCTCCCTCCTTTCTGCCTTATTATTCCACCAGGTGTCTGAAGCCCATATTATGTGCTTTTTTGCATTGTTGGATCAATACAAACTCTGCTAGTTCGTCAGAGCAAGAAACAGGAGCGTTTCAAAGCACAGCGAGAAGGCCCTGATTTAGCACAGCCTGTCTGGGTAAAAGATGCTGCCTCTGACACTGTGCAAATTGGCTGCTCTGCACTATCTGCTGCTCTGCCATGCGTGGGGCTGCTGCTGGCTCCTGCAAAACCAGGCAGGGAATGCTTTCTGCTTCCCTGTGCAAGCAGAGAAGGGAAATCAATACCAAAGCCCTGTGGATGGGAGCAGGAGGTCACCAAAATGAGGTGAGAGTACCAGAGTTTGGATGGAGGGAGGCCACAGGACTGAATTGAGGTTCTCCTTTCCCAAGGCTCTTACCCAGAGAAGGAGGGGAGAACTAAGCTAGGAGGAACTTGAACTAAGAGGCACCAAGGCATAGCTTTTCCTTCACCTTGAAAAAGCAAAATCCCAGCAAAGGGACAAGAAACAATGGCTGAGCAGACTTCCTGACAGAAGTGGAACTCGATGTGGCAGGGAAACAGGGGAGTTCAGTCCTGATCAAGTCCTGGTTTTCACAGTGAGCTCAGTGAGATTTCCTGTACCAACACAGTCCCCCACTTTCCTTCTGGAGGTCAAGACCCCTCTTCCCTAACTCCAGAAATTAAAAAGCCAAGTTCAGGCTAACAGTTGAGATGCCCTTGATGCTCAAAGGCCGAGAGAACACTCAAACATTTCAAGTGAGATGAGACAGCTCCTAGTTGAATTCCATGGCTATCCCTGCTCACTCAGCAGCAGCTCTGCCAGGATGCTGCATCCACACCAATCCCTCAGATTTCCAAAGCTTCTCAAGACATGTGAAGAGGTGGGACTGTGTTACTCACTCCTGAGTGCTAACAGTTCACCCATATGGCAGGGAGCTGCATGCATTGGGTGTGAATATGGGCCATGAGCATCTCATGGACCAGACTTAACACAAGCTCAGATGGAAACTTTGTGCCAAAATGCAGAACACATTTTTTCCCCACCCAAAACAGCTCGGTAACTCACATTTTTTTTCTGAAAATCTGCCACTTCTTTTAGTGCCTGCACATGCAGAATGACCTACCCCAAGCTTGAAGTACTACTGAGCATGAGTGCTTTTGAAAAGCTCTGTCATTTATATATGTGAGTGTGTAAAGATAATATATCTTCAATACCCAAACACAGATACTGCTTTTAAGGCACGTGAAGACCTGAAGCAATGTGTTTGTGTGGCTGAGGAGCTGGAGCAGTCTGCAGGAGGGCTGACTGTACAGAGGGCATGCATTCTTTCTCTGCTCCTTGCCTTCTGCACCTCGAGGACAGAAAAACTGATCCAGACCTTTGCAAAACATTTTGAGGTCCATCAGTGACAGCAAGTTCTGACATATATGTTTGTTTAATACAGAGATGCTACAGAAAGGAAATCTGTCTTGTGGTTACTCATGGGATCTTCTGAATTGCAGCTGTTTTTCTCAAGGAAAGGACGTTTTAGTTACCTTTATCACAAGACTTTAAATCTCGTTTGGAGGTTTCTACCCAAATATTTACACAACGGGCTTCCTAGGGAAGGCAGGCTGGCGGTTATTTTGCTTTGTGCCAAGAAGTGCTCTGATGATTGCCCTCCTCTCTATTCATCTTCACTGTAACTCAAACATTGTCTCAGAGAATCCCATAAACTGTCTGTGACACAGCCCCAAAACCTTCAGGACGCTCAGCTAATCCCTGTACACCCAACACTTTGTCACTAAATTATCACAACTGCCCACAGAGCTGCTCCATCCAACACAAACAGCCAAGGCGATGGGAGGAAACAGCTCCAAAGAGAACCTTTCCCTTTCAAAATGAAAAAACCCTCCTGGTGAAAGCACTGTCACACTAAATAACTCAAAGGCACCAAATGCAAATGCTATTTACAATGTCAGTTCTATAAATATCTGTGGCACGTTTCATTAGCCGGTGACTGCAGGAATAAAGAAGAATACAGTGTTTTCTTCCTTGGATCACATCAGAAATTATAATTGGAGGCACAATCTTTCCTAAACGCTCGCTGCCTGTACGGGAGGCAATTACTGTG